CACCGCAGCTCCTCTCCTTGCTGTGGTCTCCCCAACTTCTACCTGCGGGCACCCCCACACCCCTTGGCAGGGACTTCCCTACCCTAACCCTGCCATTGCTTCTCACTCAGCCTGCTCACATGCTGCTGCCGCCGCCGGCAGCATTGCTTTTAGCCCATCTTCCCATGTGTTTAAACACCATTTCTTCCTGAGATGGCTGTCCAGCAAACGCACAGCTGTCAGCTCTCCCTGACTTGGGTGCTCCCCCTTTGCCCTGGGTTGGCACTGTTTAAGCACACAAGATTGTTCTTGTCTATGCAACTGTCCTGTGATATGAGTACCAGGGCAACCCACATTTGTCTTGCTTACCGTGTATATTAGCCAGTTGTTCCTTCATTGCCACAAAATACCCAAAACCCACCACTTAACGGAGGAGCAGTTGAATTGGGCCAATGGTTTTAGACAGTTCAGTCCATGGTAAACCGCCTCCAAGGCAGAAACCTCATGACTGACAAGCATGCCGGAGAAAAACTGCATAGCTCATGGTGGGTGGGAAGCAGAACAGGGAACAACACCAGAGTGGAAAGGGCCAAAGACCAGGTGGAGCACTCGAGGGCGTGCCTCAGACACACTCACAGGTGTCCTGTACTAATCCCCCAGGCTGCTCTCAGGCCAGTCCACTTGACAGTGTAGCTTAACTGTCAAGCCATGTTACATCCCTCATCTGTCCCTTCCTTCCCCTCAGTTGAGTGTGTCCTGGTGAAGCAGAGGCTTTGGGCTTTTGTTTTACATGGAGTAAACTGAGGAATTAAACACGTAAGGCTGCTGGAACCTGACGGTGACTTGTGTAAAGACTCAGCCGCTCCAGGCCCTCAGCAGACCCCGGAAATGAGGGAAACCACATGTCACACTATGCCAGCGTGTTCCCATATGTCAGTTGGGAAACTTAATCAAATTAACAAGCCAGATCCTACTTCTGTTTTACCCTTACTGACTCTCAGCTCCTCATCCATCAAGTGAAGGTAACATTATCTCAGAAGCTGGCTTTACTGTTAGTTTTAAGATTATTTTAGAGAATGATAATCTAATTTTTCATCTATGCAACTGGCAAATTTTGGTTTTGCTGCACTTTATTTCTATGCCATGCCCAGTAGTAACACAGATTATAAAGGCCAGTGTTCCCATTCTGCTGCTGGAAATGTAAAGCAGGATGAAATGGGGTACAGACCGGAGTGCAGGGCAAAAGTCCCCCCAAAATGGGCATGTCATCTGACTTAGTACTCTCACATCTAGAACTTTATCCTAATTGGAAATGTGAACAAAGTTCGGTCCCTAAGACTTTCATTTCAACCTTATTTCTAACTTTGTAAAAAGGAAAATACTAAATATCAAAAAAAGGCATACTAATTGAATTCATTATGGTGTGGCCACAGAATAGGCCACTGTGTAGCTATTGATGATGGTGATGATTTAAAAAAAGTTATAATGGCATGGGAAATTAGCAGGATACGCTGAAATAAACCAAGTAACAGAACCACAGTTTAGCATGTTCTCAGTCACTTTTTAGGTAGATACAGCATTACAAGAAGGTTCGAAGATGTAAAACACTATGTTTCCCTAAATAACTAATGTGGAATTTCTTTGTGATACTTATAATTGCAAATTTTGAATATGTGTTATTTCTGTAAGGGTTTTATGAAATCTGAAACATCACAGGAAAATAAACACACAGTTTGCCGTTGAAGTGCCTTTGCATTTAACGGGAAAGCTCTCAATCCTGCGATTCGGGACTGTCTCTCCTGGGCGTTGGGAATGACTGCGGCATCCTGGGAAGTACCTCCTTTTTGTTTACATGGCTTGTTAACCTGCTCTTTTTTCATTCGTGCCCTTGAGCATATTGATTTAAACACACAGATTGAGCTTTATGATTTTCCGTGATTTCTACATAGGTCAGAAAGTAAACTTCCACATAAAATTGGCTATCTCAATAAATTAAATTCATGTGTGCTTTTCTAAAAAGGGCCTTTTATAACACTAATACCTTTGAATCCAGCTGGCTTCCACAGACCTTGGAGAAAGGAACAGCCTCTCTCTCTGTCTCTCTCTCTGTCTGTCTGTCTCTCTCTCTCTCTCTCTCTGTCTCTCTGTCTCTCTCTCTCTGTCTGTCTCTCTCTGTCTCTGTCTCTGTCTCTCTCTGTCTCTGTCTCTGTCTCTCTGTCTCTCTCTGTCTCTGTCTCTCTGTCTCTCTCTGTCTCTGTCTCTGTCTCTGTCTCTGTCTCTCTCTCTGTCTCTGTCTCTGTCTGTCTCTGTCTCTGTGTGTCTCTCTCTGACTGTCTGTCTCTCTCTCTCTCTCTCTCTCTCTCTCTCTCTGTCACTCTCTCCACTCTCCCCCCCAGTTCAGGAAAAATAAAATGTTTATGAGGCACATTTTTCTCCCACCAAAATAAAGCTAGCTCTTTAGAGTTCCATGGGGGGAAAATCAGTTCTTAAAGCTTTAAACAACTTTATTGAAAGAGCAACAGGTATATTTGCACTGCCTTTTAGCCATCTATATCTAAATTATCCTTTCTGGGCATATCTGAGATAACAACAAGTGTCTTCCTTAGCTTTCATCTAGAAAGTTATATTGTGTTTTGGGAAATCAGGCATTGCCAGGTGCATGATGCCCAGCACTGCGACGGAGATACCTGTGTCAAGAATAGAATTACAGCACAAGTAGAAAGCTGCAGAATGGGAAAAACAGAAAAAGCGCTGTAGAACTCCCACTTCATCTGACTGTAATGCTTTGAAGAGAGGTCTTACCATGAGATTATACAGCCAAATTAGTTACTTGATGCAAGAGGTCAGTAAACCGTAGAGATAAAACATAAAAAGCAGGTTAGGGAGCAGAGCAATTAAGAGCAAAAATGGAAAGTTTGTCTTTAAAAAACAAGACAGCCTCTCAGAGAAACATGGAGTAAATTAGATCTGAGGGTGTTGCTCACTGTTGTCACCTTGTGTGAGAGAGAAGCTGCTGGAAACCTGGGGAGACAAGAGACAAGTTGAAAGAAACTGAGGAACCGTGATGAAGATCAGCTCGGCCAGGAGCCAGCCGTTAAGCCACACCCGTGACGCGGGGTGATTAGTGTGACTGCGGGCTCCCCTTCGGAGCAGAAACAGCAGGCTGTTGGAAGGGCTCTGTAAGGGAGGCATCTGGACAGGGCTGGCAAAAGGACCAACGGTGCGTAGTGAGTACTGTAGAAAGAATGGAGGGGAGGTGGGCAGGACCAGGTGAGGGCAAATGCGCCCTTGAGCTCAAACATGTGCTCCAAGCCTCTCAGTTGCAGTTCATGGTTTGTCTGTCACAAGCACCTTGATAGCATCCTATTTCCTTCAAAACTCGCGTCCTGTTGAGTTCTAACTCCCAGGCAGGGTGGCCCCAGGCTTAGGGGGAGAAGAATCGTCAGCCTGAGTGAGAGGGGAGCTGGAACTCTCCATCCTGTCTCTTCTGCCCTCTCACTCTACTGCTTGGGCTCCCCTTGGTCTTTCCAGGGCTGGACTGTGCTTGCCCCAGCCCTGTCCCTGGAAGACTTCTAACTTCTTATCGTTCTACAGTTTCTCTTCTCTTGGAGGGACAGCCTTAGTCCTGTGAAGAGAGAAGGGTGTTATCTCCTGTGCGCACATGGGGCAGATTGGTTTCCTCCGAGAACTGAAACCGGCAGCACCCCGGGGCTTCCAGGGGAGCCTCGCAGAGTCACATGGAGTGGTCACTGGACTCTCCCCGAGCATGCTTTATTCAGTGGTAGAATTATGGTTTCCGCAGGAAGAAAGCAGGCCTGAGGTTTCTTTAGAAAGAATAAGTAAACATGCATATAAGCAGAAACTATAGTATAGTAGATCCAATTTATCTCTACTCAAATCTTAAATGAGATTGCATACGGTCTGTTTTTAAAAGCGAACTCTGTTAAGCGGTAGATTTATAATCATCATTGCCTTTGTAGAACTTGATGGTTACTTGATGGTTTTGTTTTACATACATGACATTAGGCAGCCGCCTCTTAAGAATTCCTTCTGTAAACCCAGCTGTTGCTTCCTCCCACACAGCCAGCTCGTGTTCACACTGACAGTGCAACTGGCACCATTCTGAACCTGAAGTGATCACAGATTATGCCATGATGGTATTCACTCAGGCAAATCTTCGTTACTCGCTGTTGCTAATGAGGTGGTGCTTACATGCCCCTTCAACAGATGACAAATTAAAAAAACAGTGTTTATACACACTTTTGGTACAGATATGTGCAACTACAGTCACTATAGAAGTCGTTCAGAGACTTCTTTAAAAATTAAAACTAGTAGGTATCTTCCTTAAAGAGTTAAAGATACCCTACTGTAGTAATACATGCATACACATTTTTATAGAAGCATAATTTATAATAGCTAAATCTTGGAAGCAGCCTATATGTCCATCAGTGTATGGATAAAGAAAATACGGTGTTTGTACACGGTGGAATACTACTCTGCCATAAAGAAGGCTAAACTTGAATCATTTGTGGGGAAGTGAACGTACCTTGAGACCATAAGCTTAAATACTGCGTGGATTCTCTTGTCTGAGAAACTCAAAATATAAATAAAACAGCAAATAAAAGATAGATAGCAGGAAAACAGGAGATAGATCTTTTGCATAAGGGAACAGGACCAAGAGATGGAGGGAGGCAGGAGGGGAGGCAAGGAAAGAAAAAGTTGGGTTGGAAAAAGCTGCATTCTGTACCGTACCATCTCCCCACGTAACATGTAACCGTATGTACTGCAAGCACAGTAAGAAAAGAACGAAGTATAAGTAGGTGGGAAGCACAGTTTGCAGAGCTGGTGTTGTCCTGCAGTGTTTTCGTAAGTGTGCTGTTTGCAGCTGTCCCTTGTTCAGCGCTGGCTGTACCAGGGAGTGCTCTGCAGCGTGGGCATCGCCCCAGTCTCACTGTGGGGAAGAGAGCACGAGGGATGGAGCCCAGTGGAAGTGATCACTTCTGTTCTCTGCTGTCTTCCAGCCCGCTGCTGGCCGTGTCCTTCGCGGCTTGTTGTGCGGTTCCAGGAGTGGCCCTCTTGACGTGGGGAGTGAACCCTCTCACGGGAGCCCTGGGCGTCTTCAACATTTTCCTGTACACTTGCTGTTACACACCGCTGAAGAGGATGAGCATCGCCAACACGTGGGTGGGGGCCGTGGTTGGGGCCATCCCGCCCGTCATGGGCTGGACGGCAGCCACTGGCAGCCTCGATGCAGGTGAGTGTCCCCGGCGCACAGACCTGTGGTGTCGGTGCCGGGAGCAAGCGCTGGCGGCTCTCTGAGCAGACGCGAGCAGGTATCGGGCAGAGATCGGTTGCTACGAGTACTGGTTAGACTCCATTTTATTCAGTACCGATTCACTCGGCAGCTGTGCTGAGATTGCAGCATGAAATGCTGTGAATACAGAGCTGAAGGACCCCCTGTCATTCTGACTTGTGGGGTGCGATGTATGCTCTCCCTTCTAACAAGGATCCAGGGAAAAGCAGGAGGCGGTGGTGTCTCAACCTGTGACCACAGGTAAAGTCAAAATAAAGGCCCTAAAGGTCACACATCAACTTAGGACTGTCGATACGTTTGGGATACTCCAGCCCAGGGAGAAAGGGATGTGAAACTGGCCTCCGTCCCCTGTCTGAGGGGTACCGCTCATTGGCAAGCCTGCCTCCTTCCTGTAAACCAGGGCTATTTTCTTCTCTTATGAAAGAGCAGATTATTTTCATTAGTTTCTAATTTATTTTCATATGCTTTACTTAAATTGTTCATGCTGTCTACAGTAAAACCATTGAAACATTTCTACATTTTTTTGGTGGTATGTCACATCTAAATTTGTGGGGTGAAAATAGCTCATTTTTACCATCTGTAAGGGAAGTTTTGCAGTCTAATTAGTCAAGTAATTAGTGTTTTTGACCAACACTTAGGAAGGAAGTGGTGAGGTTTCCTGCAATATATGTAAGTACATATTTTTCACATGAGAGATCAAAGGCAGCTGACCATAAACCGTTACCCTGTAAGCCACATTTCTGAAACTTTTCATAAAAGCTCGTACACTCTGATTTGGCAAGCTTACAAATGGCGATTACACCTTCACCGTGATTGTCTCTTCAAACCGTTTTAATATCCTGTAAATGGTGAATTTTAATGAATCTACAAAATGTAATATTCTACTTCTGTGCTCTTTTTCTCTGCAATAAACGTTAAACTGGAGTCTCGTCCACGTGGGCGGCAGGAGTATCAAAGAGCTCATGAGCAGGGCTCCGCAGCCCAGCGAGCCTCCAGGCCTGGGACGCAGCCTGCCTCTTAGCCGAGTGACCTTGGAACTGAACTTGGCCTCTTTCATCTCCTTTGTGGGGCTGATGATGGGCTGTCTGTACGGAGCTGCTGTGAAGATTAAGTAGGTTATTGTCTTAGTCTGTCCTGTGCTGCTATAACAGAAGACTACAGATTAATTTCTAAAGAAGAGAGATTTATTTGTTATAGTTCTGGAGGGTTGAAAATCCAGGTTATGGATCCACCATCTGGCAAGGGCTTTCATGGTATCATTTTTGACAGAAGGGAGGGAGCAAAGGAGAGGATAGAAAGAGGGAAGGGGGGAGAAAGAGAGAGAGAGAATATGAGGAAATGTCCACATGAGGTTATATTTGCAGTCAGCTGTGTACACACCTGCAAACCCAGACTCAGGAAGCTAACGCGGGAAGACTGCTGTTAGTTCAAGGTCAGCCTAAACTACCTAGTGAGACCCATCTCACAAGACCAAAAAGGGAGAGCAAGAGAGATTAATTAAACTAGCAAGACCTCAACCCCTCTTATAATCCTTACTGATCTGTGGACCCTCCAGCACTGAACACCCCCCATCAATTGACCCCCACTCCCAGCCCTGTTCCACTGGGAGCTAAGTTTCCAATGCATGCTTTTAGGGGGGCATATTCAGCCCACAGTGATTGTTATGTGTAAAGTGCTTCGCTGTGGTAGGGGTTCAGTTCTTGACAGATAATGCTGTTATATTCAGCATCGTTCATGCAGTGAGTTAACACTGAAGACAGGTCATGAGATTTGATTTGATTTACAAATTTCAGTTACAAACTATACTTCATAATTATTCCCTAGCTGTTGTTTTGAAGACGGTGACGTGCCTACAGGTTTGATGAAGTAGGGGAACGCAGAGGCGGGGGTTGGTGTATCTGAGTTTTAACTTGGCTTACCACTTCCATTCAGAGAACATACCCACAGACCACCAGTCCTCTTAGTCCACCACATTGCTTCTCCTTGATTCCATCGGAGCTCCAGCCCTGACCTGACCCCATAATTTGACAACCCCAACCTCTCTAGGTCCCATCCCCGCCCCCAGACATTCAAGGCAGGGGCCGTGAAAGCAAGTGAGTGACTCCCTAGGTTCTCATCCTCTGACATCCTCCCTTTCTTGGAATGGAGCTGCACCTAAGCACATGGACCCCTCCTAGAAAATACTCTGTGCCCTGCCAGGAATGCCTGACCCCTGTTTAGTTTCTTCAATCCTGGCATAAAGGAACAAGGCACCCAAAGCTTCCTTTCTGTATGGGGAGTCCCAGATGGGACAAGGTCATTGCCAGCCTCCAAAACCCACAGACACAGAGAGAGATGTCCCTGGACATAGGTGAAGACAGTCCAGTCCAGGTCCCAGTGTGCTGTTCCTCCCTGAGGGCTGGGAGCTCTTGTTAACATCCCCAGCAATCTCACGAAGACTTTGAGCCACAGGGTGCAGAAGCTAATATTTTGTCCCTGGGGTTCAGAGGGGCAGTTTTGCAAAGATCCTCATTTAGGATTGTACAAGCAGGCAGGAACCCTTTTTTGTTACGGGACCGTGTTTGTGTAGGTAAACTGCTGATAGCCATAGTTAAAACCAGTTTTTAAAAATGTTAAATGTAGTCTTTCTGTCATTCAAATTTAATCAATTGTGTGCATTGATGATGGACAGCTAAAGGCTACACTATCCCCTGATTAGATAGCAGATTGAAAATAAACAGCTATTTATTTGTCCATTTCAAAAGTGAGACCTGTTGTCTAACTCGGTATAAAACAGTGCTCTGGAAGATCTGTGTAACCACTACCAGAAGAAGCTCCCTTGACTGTTTTCCACATGGCCTCTCTGGACCCTTTTTCATGGAAATCTCTGCAGAACTGTTAGTACCAATACAGTTCACTGGCCCAGAACTGTCATCGTCACCGGTCAAGTTACATCACATCATGTGCCTAAAGCCTTGTTGTGCAAAACAAGGTGTTTGTGCAAAAACACCACAAAACGTGGTGTTTGTGCAAAAAGAATCATACTACTTTACATAATGCATTAAACAGCTTCTAAGAAGTTTCAGAACATTCCTCAACGGAGCAAACCAGATAAACAGTAAATATCTGAGTAGACTGAATGAACAAATCAGCAAATATATAGCTCCCATTTTACAGATGGTACAACCGAAGAGAATGCACTTTAAGATTTTTATTGCTGAATTTTAGAAACTGAGTTGGATCTTTCAGAGCTGCCCTGTCAGAATAGCAGCGAATCGCCACAGGTGCTATTTAAAGTTAAACTGAGTCATTGTAAGTTCATTTCCCACGAGCCACACCGCAAATGCCCAGAGCCACTTGTGGCCAGTAACTTCCATTTGCACAGCTAGAAGTAGGACATTTCCATCACTGTGGAAAGTTACCTTGGACAGTACCACCTAGAAGCAAATGGTGGCAGCCTTCTGAGTCCGCCTTCCCTCTGCCTTGTGTGAATATGAGGTTTAGATAATGGGGCATTGATGAGACTCCACCTGTGGGCTCCCTCAGTCGGAACCCTTGGTCGACAGACCGCGGTGCACGTCCACATAGCCTGGAGCATCACAGAGTCCCTGGGCCCGCGCTCCGCATTCGAGTACAGTAAGTCTCCTGTGAGGCTCTGACAGTTTCCATTCCGAACAAATTCCCAGGGATGCTGATGCCCCTGGTCCAGGCCACCCTTTATAAATCACCACACTGCAAAAATAGTAAGAAAGGGCATCAGCTGTTAGCATACTGTGGAATACTTAGAAATTAGGGCAAAGGGAGGGCGTGGACAGACAGTATTGTTCAGAGTGTACTAACAGTATCGTTTGCATTGGCCGCAGAGTTTACATTTCTCATCTCAATGCTCAGGGGACATGTCTGGCTGGAGCGAGCCCTCAGAGCAAAAAATAACCAAAAATGTTTTCTGCTTCTGTAGTATCTACAATCCATGTAATCTTTGAACCTCCAGACAACAGTCACCTTGAGAAGCCTATGAATAGGTCAGTCTACAGAATATAGTCCTAAACTATGCTGACAGTAAGAAAGAGACAGAGTTGGAAGCTGAGGTGGGTGCCAGTACAGAAGAAGCGACTGTCCCCTCAGCACAGCCTGGGAGCTGGAGGTTTGCTGTCGTCACAAACCGATCCCCGTGGGAGCGTGATTACAGGGGGCTTAGCCGAGGACCTAGAACCCAGCCCCTGTGCTTACACACGTCCCTAGGAAGGTCAAGCAGCCAGTGAGATGGCTGAGGCCTTAAGGACGGTAGCAGGTGTGCCCCCTTCATGTTCCCACACTGGCCCGGGAGGACCCTGGAGGGAATGACTGCTGGATTAAGTCTTCACTGCTTACCTATGCTTCCAGGAGGAGAGGAGCGTGTACAAAGACGTTCGGGCCTGAGCGCCAGAGCAGAGTGTGGGGCAGGGACGTGACCTAAGGTGAGCTTCTCACCTGGGAATTTATCGTGTATTGAAAGATAATAAAGATCCACCGAAGCAGGAAAGCAACAAGTCTCATGAGAAGCAGGGTTATTTAACGAAGGCCGTGCAGAGGCTCTGTGCTGGAAGTGAGTGAGGTTCAGACCTGCTGTGAGAGTCCTCACAGCCTTGTGCCTTCTCACACCTCCCACCCGCCCCCTCCCCCTCCCTTTCCCCCTCCCCCCCTTCCTGGTGTTCGGCCTACTCCAAGCTTGCCTCTGCCCCCACCTCTGTGTCTCTCTTACTCAAAAGTTTTACCTTTTAAGTATTCAGTGAATATCAGTCTGTTGATCCTTTGAAAGAACAACTTGGTAACACTAGCAAATCTCCAGGATGAAAGCTTTATGTTTAAAGGGAGGTGGATTGGACTGAACACACCCCCATTCCTTTGCCCCGCCCAGGAGCCCGTATATTAAGTAGCTAGCACCCACATGTTAATGGCTGGGACTTTTGCAAAAACCTTTA